TCAGCCTTGATGCCTGAATAAACCATTTAGATATAAACCCTTAAATAAACTTTGAAAGCACATATCAAATTAAAAACTATCATAAAAACAAAAGGACTCTTGCCCTCCTGTAAAATGCATTTTGAGCCCAAAAAAATAACCTATATAAATTTTGTTGTTAGAGGCACCATCCAGTGATTCTGTTGATAACAATTTGCTTCTATCTGTTTCTCCTTTATGGTATAAATGTTGAATTGTACTAATAATAAAAGATGAACAGATCTTTACGCCATGTACCATTGCATCTATTAAATGGTAAATCAGAGTCTTTATGAGCAGATAACGTGGTACCGGTATGTTTAAGATTTAAATCCCTGTGACAGAGATACCTAAAAAATAAGATTCCTTTAAAAAAAAATAGTTAAATTATCACATTGAATCTGAGATGAACTGCATACTTTAGCTTCCCAATGTTGACTAAACAGCAGGTCTGTCTGATGCTCAGCAAGAAACCAAAAGGTGTGCAATAGATCTGTGGTGTTCAGCTGCTGCTGCTGTAGTGCCGCCATGCCACCTTGTGGTGGATTTTAGCAACAACAACTGAAATAAGCAATTATTTTTGGAAAATCTCACATAAACAGGAGTTTGGATATTTTAGCCGCAGTAATCGGCTTAAAACCCCTTAAAACAAAGCTAGATAAGCAGATTATTAAAAAGGAGATTATTTGACATGGTTGCCAGAGTTAAGACCATGTGAAATTAGCCGACAGGAATCTGAATATTTAATCCTTAGTTGTTCTCATGAATGAATGAACCTAGTGGGCCTGAAGGAAAGCAGACCAGTCTTATTGATGTCTGTTGTGACTGGTGTAATTATCCCCGTTTTGATGTGAGGATGTGAGTCAAGCAGGCTGGTTGTACATCTGGGGCAGGATGAGGTAGCAGTAGAGCAGGATCCACAGGAGCAGCAGTATTTCCAGCTCCAATGGCTTTATGTTACAGCTGGCTGCTATAGATCGGAGACTCAATCCTTTATCGTTCCTGGAATAGAAATAAACAAAGAAGTGCTCTATTTAGGCATTAATATTCTATGTTAATTATTACATCCAAGCTGTGAAGCAAAGAAAAAACCTGAAACCCAATTGGAGGACTTATTTTACTATAGATAAAGTAACCTAGATAACACCTCCCACTTTTTTTCAGTTTTATATCCACATATTTAGCCAGTGCATTTAGACTGTTGAAAATGTTCTCTTAACTGCCTTTGCTTGATATTTTGTTGATCCACCTTAGGCAGCAGTTACAGCCACATGTCTTGATGCCATGAGCTTAGCAGGTCTATCTCTAGGCAGTTTCAACTATTCTTCTTTGCATTACTTCTCAAGCTCCTCCTGGTTGCATCTTCTGCAAATCTGGATCAGGTTTCCATCAAGGAAGTCTCTGTATGTTTCTGCATTCATCTTTCCCTCTATCATGACTAGTCTGCCAGTTTCTGCTGCTGAAAAACCTCCCCAGAGCCTGAGGCTGCCACCACCATGCTCCACTGCATGGATGGTGTTGGCCTAGTGATGAGTGGTACCTGGTTTCATCTTAACGTGATATGAAAGAGTTCAGGCTTTGCCTCATCATACCAGATAATGTTTTTTGTCTGAGAGGCTATAAGGAGCTATTCTGGGTCATCTTCCTGGCTAATGCTCTTCTCCCCTAAGAGAATCACTCAGTTGGGACAGTCTACCAGCTCTAGGAAGAGGCCGGTGGTTCCAAACTTCTTGGAATGTATCCTTGTATGTATTAAGGAGGCTTCTCTGCTTAATAAACCTACAAAGCTGTAAAAACATTTTGCATTCTCCCAAAGATCTGTGTCATATGGCAATCTTGTCTTAAAGTCTGCAAACAATTCCTTCAACTTCGTGGTTGGTGTTTGCGCTCTGACATGGACTGTCAGCTGTGGAACATTATATAACAGTAAGTGAAGGGTGTTTGTAATGATGAATCAGTACCTGAATGACTGAGAAGATGCCCTGCAGGCCGCAGTCCAACCGTTATCTCCTTCATGGATGTCATCATGGGACCTTTTTGGGGAAGCTTTGTCATCTGCCATCAGATCCTCATGTCTCCTGATCATAGGTTTGCGTTTTTTTGCATCTTCAGTTTGAACAGGCCCGAAATCAGATGATTGAATCAGATAAAGAGCTTCCTCCATTTTCACTGCAGCTTTACAGCCTGTGCTGTTTACTGTAGTTATGTTTCTATTCCTGCTTTTAAACCCAGCATCACCTGTAAGTGTTTTCCTCTCTGTTTTATCCTTGTAATTTTCTGATTTTACACATTCCTGGATGCTTGTCTCAGTGTCCTCAACACATGCTTCCTCCATCTCTTTCTGTTCCTTTAGATCCTGTCCTTTCTTTAATCTTCCCAAATCTCGCCCCGCTGTTCTCTCAGTCATATGTCCCAGTTTTTCATAGAGCTCTGCTCCCTCTTCGTCAGCATATTTCCCATTAACCGCTTCAAAAACCCTTCCCTTCGCTCCACCATCTTGTGTTTTGTCAAACCCGTCCCTGTTTTTTCTATCACTCTCTGTCTTTTCATTGCTCTCCTCTTCAGTAGATGCATCACTGTTTGTTTCTCTCCTGAACTTTGGCTCTTTTCTGCTTCCTGTCTCAGCCTCTGGCTCCAAGTCAAGCACAGCTCCATTGTTTGTTTTCTCTCTGAGGCTGTTTCTGCTCTTGTCCAAATCAAACTTCCTGTGAGCCACTGACTGAGCTCTTTCTGCTGATTCTGGATTAAAATCTGTGTCCTCACAGAGATGTCCTTCCCGCTGTTTATATCTGCCTC